AAGGACCATGAGGATCAGAAGGGCGAGGACGAACAGCCGGCTTCCGTGACTCGAATACAGCGTGAGGACGCCCGCCAACCACCACAGCGTTGGACAACCACCTGGCGCCGAGTTCATCCCCCTTTGAATCGCGGCGGGATGTTCACCTGTGGCATATAAATTGATTTCACCTTGTGGTATAGGTACATCATACGCTGGGTAGGATATTACGCAGTTTCTGGTAGGTCTGTTGGTCAAATTTGTTCTGCATTAAAATTGACGATTTTTGGTTCATTAGTCTCTTTACAAGTGAGAATGCTTTGAACTTCTACAAACTCTTTCCAGAGAAAATTGAATTGTGCATCAAGTCTTAAATACTAGAAAAAGGTATCATATATCAATGTCCTGTTATTTGAATAATTAAATTATTAATTTACGGCTTTTGGCTTTGGATATTGAGGCCAAAAGTCGCCATTAATATGGCATTTGACAAAAGGTTACATTTGAACTGTTCTATAGATAATTGAAGGGTCTTAGCCCTTATAATCCTTAAGGTTTACCGAACGCGTCGATCTGATGCATATTGAATTTTGTAAACATTATTCACCGAATGTTTACGTCGATGTTGATTGATGCGATTGCACGAATATGTATTCTACTTGCCTATTCTTATATCTCTGATATATCTTTTATATTTCTTATATTTCCGAGATTTAAATGAACGAACATCAACCGTTCTAGGAACAATGAAATGAACTGTACAATAAATCTTCGTAAATCTAGTGTTAATATCATTAATCGATGAACGGAATGTACATTATCGTTTGAATGAATATGTACAGCGTCTTTGGGAATAGATAGGAGAACATTTGAAGAATGATTTTCCATGGCAATATAAGATGAAAATCTGGAATAAAAAAGTAACTATTCAGGGTTTGTGTTTAAGTTATTAACTCTAATATGGTCATTTTGAATGTTGACGGTGCATCAATAGCGTGTAAGATATGTACATAGATCATCGTGAGCATACACGATAACGTAACGCGTGAGAGTTCAGCGGCAGAGACGAACTCGCACTGTGTTATTGGCTAATTATAATTGCTAATTACAATTCTTAAATATTCTACACATTAGAATCTAAATAAAATTTAAAAATATATACTTATTAATTCTTTGAAATTTCTTTCACATACTCTCACGTTTTCAAAATCCAACATCAACTATAACGGAACTCAATTTCAACAATTTAAATTTAGTACATTTATTTCAACTAATAGAAAATCACAAAGCACCCCTTCCAGTGATATAATCTAATGATACTGTATAATTGGTATCTCATATTAACTCGATCCTTATATTTTAAGCCATATCTATCTTAATGCATGTTGAACCAGGTCATGACCTCTCCTGACGATGCATTGCGAACGTAACGTCAGCTCGTATTCACTTAAGAGGCCATCTCTTTTTTTTCCGACCGTCGCGCGAGGCCACGATATTACTACATATTTCTTCGTTGAAACGCGAGGAAGATTTATTTTAATGGAATGCGAATACGCTTACCATTCAACACGTGAAGCTGCACGCTCGCGCTATCAAAACTGCTCGGGCTGCAAGTGTAATTGCCTGAGTCCTCCCGCCTCGCGTTGCGGATTTCGAGACTGCTGACCGTGTCGTTCTTGATCCTCTCCGTCTGGATGTCGATCTTGCCCAACTGATTGTCCAGAACGCGGTCGCCCTCGTGATACCAGAAGACGTAGAACGGTCCTTCGAGGGACTGTTTGATTATGCACCGTATAGCGACTGTACTTCCGGTCTTCACATACATGTCGCGGTCGCCTATGATCTCGATCTTTGGCACTAGAAACCAACAATCGATATTTGTACGTTCGCCACGTAAATTAGAATCAATTAAATGTACAATGGCGGACGAAAGATGCTTTAAAAGACGAGCAAGGTACTTATACAACCATCTTTTATTTAGCATTATACTTTACTTAAATAATAGAACAAAAATGCAATAAGGAGATTGTGGATTTTTCTGCAGATGTGGATTTTCAATGATTAATTTGTAGAAATTAAAGTAACTAGAATCTTTTGATTTTAGGCGTTCGATCGCACTACAAAGAATAGAAAAATTTAATTGACATGTTAGAAAACGCTATCAATGCGTAACATTTGAAGTCTAAATTTCATTATTACAATTCTTTGTCGCATTCTATTAGGTCCGTTCACTGGCTTTTATGTGTACCTTTTAAAACACGATAAAAGAGCGTATCTCTTATTTTTATGAAAGAAAATATTACAATGGCTGCACGTATATATTAAATTCATTCGTTACATAATACAATTTTCCGGATAGTTCGATATTTGTAACGATATAAATCTCGGTTGCGAGTACGAATAATTGAACGGTTCCGAAAATAGAACTGCAACCGCTACGTAATTCACGAAACAAAAATACATTATCACATGACAAGATGAACACTCCGGGGTTATCAGTTGTATGAAATTCATTACAGCCACAAATACACGGAGTTTCCAGTGACCTGACGTTTATAACCGCTATTGGGAGAATGTTCGGCGAAGAAATTTCAATGCGCGGTATTGTGCGAGTTACATAAAGGAGAACATGTATTTTTCCACTGGTATAATTTTCCATCGTGTGTCGGAACTTTATATTACCGCGATCGATGACAGAGCTGTACAACAATGTTGTAAAAATAACATTCGCATATAAAACGGACAGTAATAGTCAACAACGCGGCATAAGGAAATCGCGTTTACCGTCTCGCAACGAGAAAAGGGGGAAGAAAAAGATGGTGTATTCTCACGGCCTCACCGACGATGTTGAGCTTGATGATGTGACTCTTTTTCGGGTCGGTCGAGATTTGGCACTCGTACTCGCCTTCGTCGCGTTCCTGGACGTACTTAACCTGCAGGGTCCAGCTGTCCGTCGCGTCTACGAAAAGCGCCTGGAACCTTTCGTCCGGGATAAACATGGTTCTATCTACTGAGAGGATATGGGAATCCCTTCTCCTGACCCACGACACCTTCGTTGTTTTATAAAAAGAAACATTACAAAATCGATTAAACGTTTGGGTCGCATGAAGTTTTTTACAGTAATGTCTCGTCAGTAGATCAAATACTGTTCTACTCTGGCTATAATAATCGAATAAGCTTGCACAGACAACCAATTCAGGACTTTCTTAACGAAAGTATTGGCATGCTCGAACTAGTAGCGATACATTACTGTAACATACTTAATATCACACAGCGTTTAATTAATAGAAAAGTTACTAAATGTGATTTTTCTAAATTCACTTGAATTACTCATTAAAGAATTTATGAAATGTTTAGCTTTAATATGATAATGGTTGAAATTATAAGTAAACTGCAAATGTGTCTGAAATTGAAAAATTTTCTTGTAGAATTTAAGCAAGAAGGAAACTGGTACTCGATAGAAGTTTGTTTCTTTTATCGCAAATTTCATTGCATCGATGGTAACGCGAGAGCTCATTTAAATTTCTATGAATGCATAAAATCGGGAATTTAGTCACGTTTCTTAGGAGGTCGAGTCTCATAACTTGCAACCATTACTGTTTGAAAACTAATTTATCATCTGGCAAACTTCCCTTGTTAGTCGTTACAAAGATTTACTCTCGTTTAACGGGGAAACTTGGATTAAACCAATCAGAACCCGACGGATATAAATTGGACCGAATCAGACCAGAGTGTTTTGAATGAAACCAATTCAGGCGAGTTCATTTTTTCGAACCTCGAAGTTAGTTCATTTCCAATTTGTTGGTTTTGGTCTGGCCCGCTCCAAGTCTATTGGTTCCGAGTTAGTTCGTACCGAATTTGTTAGTCTTTTGTTAGTCCATTTCGCGTCTGTTGGTCTGGAGTTGATCTAATTCGTGTTTCTTCAGAATTCGCAATGACTCAATTCAAATTTCTGGGGCCCGTGCTACCGCCATTTCCGTCTTTCTCCTCAGTTTGATTTCAATTCAACGCTCTCCCCACTTGTAATTGATTTCGGAATATCTAATTCGATAACTGATCGTCTACAAACACAGAATATCAGTTTGGTCCGTCAGTTATGAATATTCATCGGCAAGAAAACACGTGTCGCGCGTTTTCGAGTATGTTAACTTACGCATCGCGTAAATCTCGTCGTATCGAGTATCGACGATCACATTTGTCCCTGTGTTTACCCGCTCTCACTTCAAATGAACGATACCAACCTTTAATGCACGTGTCGCGTTCCAATTTAAATTTTAATTAAATCTCCGCGGTAATTTCATAAATTATACAATTTTATACGCGGCGCACTGTTCCCATCGAATTTAAATAAAATTCCTCCTCGATTAATTTCATCCTCCGATGGAATTTATTAAAGGATGAACATTCGGTAAATTCCGCGATCGAAGTTCATACGTTCCTCGTTACTGGCTGGCTTAGTTTTCCACGAATATCCCGTATTCAGTTTCTCCCGTCGCGGGTCCGTCGTCGTTAGCCGACATACTTCGCGGTTCCTGGCTCTTCATCAATTCTCCAGCCGCAGCCGGCTTTTTCCCTTCGCCGTGAACCGATACAAAATTTAAGAAAAAGCCGGTATCCGTTCGCGGTCGTGTATTTTTCTCATCAGCTCCGCTGACGGAGGTCTCTTTCTTCTCAACAAAGGACCGGGATTATTAATCTTTTCTTTTATATGTCCCGCTGCATTGTTATACTTTCCGCGGGAGCGCGGACGTATCCTCGCGGAAGGAGCGAAATAAAGCAATAGAAACGTTTCCTAGCGACGCGGTGAAAATTCGAGCGTGTCCGCCAAACTCCGGCCGAGCTTCTCTGGATGAATACGGGCGGGCAAGCAAGCGAGTCAGGGCGCCGGGAGTGCGGCCGGGGGCGTAGAAAAACTGGGCCGAGGGTGAAAAAGAGCGAGGTGAGCGTGTTCGACTTCCCGATCCCGCTCGATCAATCTTCTTTCCCTTGTCTACGGTTAATTTATCGTGCGTCGATCAGCTTCGCGGATCGTTCTTTCGCCCCGCGCAACGTAGCAGGCGAGTGGGTCGGCTGGTTCGGAGTCGACAAGAAACCATATTAAGAGTGCATTCAATTTATTCGCGCGATAAGCATCTCGTGTCGCGGCACCGGGCGGTAGGTGTTCTACAGATGCAACCATGACTTACGACCGAGCGGAACTTGTAATCAACAAAGCGAACTAAGTGCTTGTTGCCCGTTGCCGAGTGAAACACCGACAGAGAAAGGTAGTAATTTCAGACCGGGAAAAATTTGCCTACCCAGTTCCGCGGCCATTAGTACTGATGAACATGGATCGGGGGGTTGGCGTTTCGACTTCGAGCTTCAAATTGTTGTTCGAGGAACTTACGTTACACGTTATCGATTTACATTGTTCTTTTCGCGAATGGTAATTTTTAATTATTTTTGTGGATTGGATATTTTTTATTGTACTGATGAATTGAGGAAATAGAAATGTTCCGAATGGGAGGAAAGTTATTTTGTTTCGTGACGACAAAGGTGAAGGTTCGTTGATTAAAAATATTAAAAATTGAAAGTATGAGCGATAAATTGGTGTAAGTATTGTCTGCAGTAGTAACAGAATATTTTGTAAGTTGTTTTAAATGTTTTGATTGTGTATTAACCCTCTATGGGCCGAATTTTTGTTATTGTTAAAGAAATAATAGTCAAAATGAATGTTTCGCGTAATTCGCAAATCGATAAACATTTTCAAGTGACCGCAACTTTCTGTCCCATTCGACATCGATAGGAAATTACCGATTTAGAGCAGTTTCTTGTTCACTGAACCACTTCATAAGAAACGATTATTTGATAACTTGTATTTGTCAAGCGATCCAGAAAACACCCATTTATTATTTTGCGGCATTAAAAAACTTAATGGGGATGAAATTGAGTTCACTGCCGTTTCATAAAAACCTCATCTTTCAAATTGCATCTAGATATTATTTCGCACTCACGAACACTGAATTTCGCCAGGAAATTACTAACACCATTAATTGCAATTCTTCTTTTATCGTTTCTAGAAAAACAGGTCCATTCTATAGGAACGTTCGAAATTAGAGAAACTACATCGATCAGTGTCAGCGCAGATTAACACAACGTAACGTTTCTGGACTCTAAACTCCATCACAGTAACGGGTTTCACAAATTCGGCGTCAAAAACATAGTAATTTTAATGAGCACGGTCACGAAACGAGCCATAAAGAGAAGGGTCTTGAAGCGCAAAAAAACATATTTATCTCGAACGTGCCCTCATGTACTCAACGATTTCACCTCGTGTTGCGCGAACACGCTAAAGTCGGACGCGGCAAACACGATTCCCGGAACGGAACACGGGAACACAAAGGGAAGGGGACGGGCGGTTGGATGGATGCGTGGACGGAGGCCGAAGGGTGAACGTCTGTTCCGCGAAATTGTGCACAAAGAACAATCGCTTTCAAACGTGTTTCCGAGCATACCGTCGGCACAATGCCCGTTGACAGAAAGTCAGTCCGTGAAAGTACGTTTAATGCCGCGCGCGATAAGTATCGAGGGGTGTGAAGGAGTCCCGACGTTCTCCAGGTCTGGATGGGTCGGCGGTGACGGGGGTGGACGAGGTTTACCGACCCTTAAGTACGCAACCGGACGATTACATAAGGGTCGCATGTCACCAAACACTTAGTCCTAGTTGTTTCAGAGTACAACTTTTATTTCTGTAAACACAAGCCAGCAGGGGGGTTGAAAGTTCACCTAAACGAGTGATACGAAAAAGTTTTACTGCTCCGTGTCGCCTACCCGGTTAAACGCGTCCTTCGCCGCAACAAGACCCACCCCTTTGTCTGTCATCGCCGGGAGATCTGGGTTACTTCGACGCGGCGGTCGGCCGCGCGGGGGCGCCTCGTAAAATTCACGCGGGCTCGTATAATCCGGCTCTAACGGTCGCGAATCCGGACAGATTAGACTTTTATAGTTCGCATAAATTGCCAGCAGAACCGCGGCGGGAGTGAGATACCGGCGTTCGCTCCGAGTCTCGGTTTATCGTCGCTATTCCGATTATTGTAATAGCGTAAACCGGATGCTCGCACTGTGCGAAATATCGACGGTACGCCGCGCCGACCCGCGATAGCTCACGCCGTGTTCGATCGTCGGATCGGCGGAGTTCATGGAAACCGGTGAGCCGTCGGTGCCGATACCATCGACGCTGGATCGCAGAAAACTGGGCATTCACGTGCAAATAAATCCAGTTTATCTGACCCTCGAGAAGGGCGGTTAGATAGACGGCGCGGGAGGGGCGACAGCGGTATCCGGTCGTACTTTTTGCAAGGAACAATGACGAGATAACGGTTTCCGAAGTTCCTCGAGTGCTTCGTAATCGACTAGGAAATTAAGGAATTCGTAATTTGTCCGATGAAGCATGCGCCGTCCGGGGAACGCGTGATGACTTCATTTATTCGTTGTACGCGGTGTTGCGCTGGTGGTGATCGTATAGACACGTATACGGAGTGTTGAGCAAACGAGAAAAGTTTTGATATCAAAAAATGAATTTGTTGTATTCTTTTCAGTGGCCTGACGATTTATTATTTATACGCGTTGGTATGTTTATATAAAGTACTTAAATGGAAAGTTTGAGCGCAGAAAATGTTCCTTTTCGGTTAAAACTAGCTTGTTTCGTGTTAAATTATATTATTTATAAAAATTTGTGTTTTCAAAGAGTCTTGATGAAGAATTTAGAAAACCCCTTTTACAGGGCTTCATGCTTAAGGACATAACCGTGTCAAGAAAAGATGGCGAACTTACTGATTTATTACCAAGTTGCCGCACTCTGCACGGCAAGTACGCATGCCTTCCCAACTGGGCCGTGACGTTCGTAGGGGTGCTTGCGTCGAAGTACGGCCCTGTGTAAATCCCGTCGAACCTCTTCACCAATGAATGAGACCTTGTGCTCACCCCTGAAAAATTCCATCAATTTTTAAACTTCAGCACGTACGAAGTCTCGAGTTGTAAACTGTGAAAAATATATGACGCTACCAGAAGAATTTCAAATTTTACGTTCAACTTCAAAGGAGATGTTCTGCCTACAAAATGCATCGCAGAAATACACGATGTTATTAAATTTCCATGTTTCATTATTTACATAAGATTTTCCTTTCTAACACTGATTATACGCCGCGTTTGAATATTACAAAAATGCTTCTAAATCCGAGAAAAATAGAAGAATATCGCTCCTACCGTACATATTTCTACGTTTCCAATAATATTTCAAATACATCAAGTAAACTAAGAATCTCAGCGGGGTGAAATATCGTTAAATCTATAAGAGCTGCAACGCTTCATGCAGAATAACAAAACTAAAACTGGTATACCAAAATTAAATTAATTACATCCCGATAATGGTACGCTGACCCGACACTCCATTTCACTTATACGTTCAATATTTACCTCAATCTCCACAGACGACGCTCTAGCGATAAAAATGAAAATCAGTATCAATAAATTAACATAGTTCTCGCTGCGACGGCTCCCGAACAATTCGGTGATTAAATTCAAATTCGCCGCGGCGGCCGCATAATACTGTCGCCGTGCGAATTCCCTGGAAAGGTGTTGCGACGCGAAGCGCTTTCATTGTGCGCCGCCTGCGCTAGCGCGAAACGTTTACGAGTCCCCGCAATCCCCGGGCAAACTTTAGCTTCAGCCCAAACGTCGGTCACATTTTAGGTGGTTGCATTAACATGGTGCCCTGATCGCGGCGGATTGTTATACCTGCTGAATTTACATTGTACCGGATATCCCCGGCGCCGCCGCCATGATGGAATAATAAAAGGATCACGGGAATATAGTGTATTCCGCATTCGTGACGTCCATACACTCGCGGCTTCCTTCAGCCCGTCCGCCACCCCCTCATCCCTCTCTGCTCCTCATTCGCTTCTTGCCTTTAGGAATAAATCCTATCAAAGCTTCTGCCAAGCCATCGTGCCTTGGGGAAATGGATACTAATCCCGGGATTCCGATTCGAGGGATCCGAAGACGGATCAGCATTCGGGCCGAAAAGCAACGTGGGCTTCGTTCCAACGACCTTGAGGGCCCACATCCGGTCCGCCGTCCGAAGGGTATAAAGGAACCACCTATTTGTTCGCGCATCATATTTCTTGTACGTGATATCATATCGCACATGCCCCGATGCGCTCATTTCCCATCTTTTTTCGTTCGACACCTGGTGAGGATTTAGCTGAGTAAGCATAGGAAATGCGCTCTGAATCCAATTTTGAAACTTGTGTTAATGCGGCGATGCCATTTACTTGAAACGTCCTTTTGAGTATTTTTGTATCATCTTAGTACTTCGTCCTTTATCTTAGAGTATGAAATGTTACCAAAGTAAATTTTTATTAAGGTAATATTAGATGCAATGAATTTATGCAAAGATTGGTAAATTGAATATGAATATAAAGATTTGATATGATTTTGAATATTAGAATTTCCGATTTTAATAATAATAAATTATTTCTGTACGTATATAACAATTAGAATTAATGTTATTGGAAAACAATGAGCTACGAGCAAATTGTAGTTTCCGAGAGTGTAAGGCGAAGAATAGTGGTAATGTGGCTGATAAATTAAATCTTATTATTTGTCCAGGTTGTTCTGTCTCTTTTACTATTGAACTAATTGCAATTTAAGAAGTTATAAGTCGTAATCCCGGAATAGCCATTGCAAAATTGAAGGCTGAAAACTTGGAGGACATTCTTGAGTCTAATTGAAATATTTATCGACTCCGTTTACAGCAACACAAAGTTCTCCTACTTCTCGAAGCTATTATATATAAAGTATATCTGAATCTGGTTGCCATTTAAACACGATCTTCTTGTAAACATGCTCTTAAGAAGCAAATTCTTTTCGATATATGTTACTTTTTTTTATTTAGCGTATAGATAGTTGATTATTTTTCAAAGCGAATTAAAATTTCACTAGTTAAATAGAAAGTCAATTTGTGTTGGCAGTAGTAAAGATGATATTGATCATTCATTAAAACTTGAATATTCCTTTAAGAATAAGGTACAACGGTATTTCAGAAATTGTTATCCTGTTACATCTGGGGCTAATATTATTTAATACATATTTAAATCTCTCTGGTAATACTTCTCAAAAAAGAAAAATTTCAAAGAACGCAAATTTTCAATTTCAAGGATGCTTTTCACTGCAATATTAACCATTTTCTTTTTATAAAATAATTCTATTGTATCCCATAAACAAAACGTACCCAGATAAAACAACGTACTGGCATAAAACCATCTATTTCAGTCAATGTTATACAAAAAATCGAACATTCACCAATACTTTATCTACAGCAAAATCCACAGTCCCATCACACCGAATAAACAATTCCAAACTTTTAAACAACGCTATATAAATTTACCTAAAAGTTCAGTGTAAAACGAAATCAGGACACGACCAGATTCTACAGAATTACAGCAAATTTTTGTAGTTCAATAAAAAAAACAAGAACATCAAAATAATTGGTACGCGTTTCAGAAAGCAACGGAGTGTTTTCGCCCAACGTATCGTTGATTCTTCCGTGACAGCGATTTACTTTGTGTTACGTGTTCCCAGTGATAAGGGAAACAGTGCATTACTGGTGGCTTACGATTCAATGCTACGTCGCAGAATCGTTGCTCAATCGACACGCAACAAATACGAGGAAGCGTTTATCGTCGGTACGGCGGAAGGGTGTCCGAGGGGGGAGTGGTGAACGTTCGTTTGTACGGCCGGATGCGAATATCGAGCGATATCTCTCGCGAGCGACGCAAAAATTCGCGTTCTCGTTGTCGACGGGGGATCAAGAGGCGTCCCGATTTATCGTCGATGCTCCGAGCCCGTGGAGTTTATACGGGACGCCGGGAATACTGGGTACCGGGGGCGGCGAAGGAGAAGAGCTCGATAAAACAGCTATACGAGGGGGGAAAGTTTTTACACTGCCGAGCTATCGTTGGCAACTCGTCGTGCGCGTTATTTAACTTCGCTCCGCGCGCCGCCGAGGCGTTCTTCGACCGAACGACTTTCAATCCACTGCAGAAACCGCGGATTTCAACGATCCTTTTTCGCTGGGCTCGGATGAACGCGTCGAAGCTCCTTTCATTATAATGTAACTGAAACGCCCATGCTTTTGTTAACCTTCGTGCACGCCGGTTGGTCAGCTTTGACGTTTGACAGTAAGATTATGGTGTGTGTGAAACACATATTGGATTTTATAAACATTTGGTTATATGTTTATTTTATTTTTTATTATATTTCACTGTATTTTTTCTGATTTATAAGATCCGAATAAACGAGTATCAATTTTTCTAGGAACAATAGAATAATGTGTGCGGTAAATATTCGTAAACTTAATGGTGAAGTGAATGGAACACTGATGTGAAGTAAATGCTCATCATTTTTAAAATTGTATTATTATGCGTTTCAATTGAATAGTTGATAAAGAGGAATACGTCGTTTATATTTGCAATATTTGAAGAGACAAATTACGTCGGGGAAATTTATATGTTATGACACTTTCTGTGACAATATTGATGGACGAGTGTTTATTGTATAAATACGAATAAATGAAAAGTAATTCAGTTCGAAATGTTTGTTATTCTGGTGGGAGCTTTTGCAAACTCGATAATATATGAATTCACATTGTGTCGCTATGAAAATAAAATGTATTCAAATGTTTTGATACTTTTTTTGAGAAAACAATTTTACTACGATAAATGTGTTAAAGAAGTGTGGGTTAAAGAAGTGGGTTCGAGGATCCCCTCCCGCTAAGTTTCCGCACGACAGCTCAAGCCTTAGAAACTCTAGGGTTAATGCACACAGGGTGATAAAAAGCGGTTCAGAACTTTAGGGGTAGATAGTATACTAGTAAAAAAATGCTTTTTATAACTTGGGTAATATTACTTTTGCGACACATATTTATTGAAACTTTTTCCCTTCGTTTGACAGGCATTATCTACTCTTAGAATTTTGAACTCTTTATCATCTTGTACAATTAGGGAAAAATGCTAAAACTATAATCGTGATAAAATAGACGAAATAGACTACGAAATGTCACATTCTTATATATTCCTTCATTCTTCTAGTTGTGAACGGCAGGTGGAATCGAATATTTTTAAATAATGGGTACAATCAGGAAATATTAGGTTGAAATTAGAATCTTGCGAACGAATGAATCAATTAAATGTAGTTTATGATGCAAAGTATTCACTACTTATATTTTATTTTTTATACATTTCAAGTCGACAAAACAGCTAAATACAAAGACCCAAACAAAGTAATAAATTCCACGAAAAATTGTCCAGTAAATACACAAAATCGAAATATTATCTCAAAAAAATTGTATTTTATAACCAGCAGGTATAATTACTCTACACACAAGAGAAACAAAAAAAAATATCGCTATAACGCGAAACTTTACCTTTTTTCATCCCCTTTACAATTATTTCTAAACCAACTTCATAAAGGCCGGGTTAAATTACGCCACCGTCTCGTGATGCAAACGAGCGCTTATTTTTCACCTCAAATTACCGCACCCTTTGTGCCTTTTGTTGCGAATTTTTCGCAATAAATTCTAGCAAGGCACAATAGAGACACCGTTAATTAATGAATTAACCGATAACGGGGAACGCTGACGCAGGGTTCATCAAGTGATTCGAAACAAGCGTTTCTTCGGCTGCGCATTTCGTTTCGCCGGAGAAAATAAGTGCCAGTCATCACGCCAATGCAAACAAAAAGCGCCGTGTCGGTTGCCGATGACGTCATTGCAGGGAACATGTTATTCAACAAATTTTAAGCGTCAGAATGAAGGAACCGCGGGAAGGGAAGTGATCACGCGTTAACAGAGTAGGAAGAATAAGAATGCATCATGTCAGAAGTATAAGTGGATGAGGTACTTCATTAACCAGCGCAAAATTATCTT